TGCGATTGGCACAGGACAGAGCGGAGTTTAGGGCTGTTGTACATAGGGTCGCTATGAGTCACAGGCGACTCGACGGCACATAACAACAACAACAACATCTTGGTGGCATTGAGAGTTGTACTGCCAACCCACAGGTGGCCCCCTCTAGTGATTTAAAACTACCAGTGGCTCCTTGGGAGAAAGATGGGAAATCTTCTGTGTGTTATTTCAGAAAACCTGCTGGAGGCTTAACTATAAGTGGGTTCTGACTTGACAGCACATAACGAGACTGGATTGCCAAGAAGGCATGCAGTATTTCATAAGTGCAGTGGGCTCTTGTCTCATGTGTAGAAAAGAATGAAACATTGCCCAGTTCTGCATCATCTTCATGGTCACCAGTATATTTGGGCCCAGTGTTGCAGGTATAGTGTCAGCCCATCTCACTGATACCCCATGGGCTGCCAAAAGAACACACAGATCTTTGAGAAAGTGCATCTAGAGTGCTCCTTGGAGGCAAGGGTAACAGAGTTTTGTCTCACATACTGTGAGCATGTTGCTAGGAGAAGTTATTCCTCAGAAAAAGCATCATACTTGGAAAGGTGGAGGGTTGGCAAATGAGGAAGACCCTCAATAAGACAGATTGGGACAGTGACTGCAGCAATGAACTCAAGTTGGTCAGATATGATAAGGATAGCATAGCATAGGACAGTGTTCAGGTTTCTTGCTCACAGGGATTCTGTGAGCCATTCTCGACTTGAAGGAACCTAATGACAACAGCTACATTTGCTGAGGTGTTTCCTTGTTTTCACCGATGCTCAACTTTATCATACACCCATAACTGTAATCTACAACATGAGGAAGCCACTCACCTGGGATTGAAATGAATTTCCTCAGGAACTTCTCGGTGGTTGATGACCACTTTATGATTGTCTCTATAATTAATGGGATCATCTGGGATCTTAAATTTGGCAACCTGAATTTCAGAGTCACTCAGATCAGCATGGGAGATTCGTGCATATCCTAACCTGTGGTAAAATAGAAACTGTCTGTAAATGTTTTATGATCATGAGAGATCTGATGAGACCCAATAGCTGTTTGATGTTATTCCAACTCATAGTGACCTTATGTACAACAGAATGAAGCACTGCTTGATCCTCCACTACCTTTACAATCACTTCTGTATTTGAGCCCATTGTTGTGACTACTGTGTCCATCCGTCTTGTCAAGGGTTTCCTTTTTTTCTGATTCTCTACTTTATCAAGCATATCTTTCTACAGGGACTGGTTCTTTGTTACAACATTCCCAAAATATATGAGACAAAATATTGCCATCCTAAGCTTCCAAGAAGCATTCTGTCCACACTTCTTCAAAGACAGACTGGCTTGTCCTTTTGGTATCCAAAAGTTAGTACCTTCATTAAACCTGTTTCCTATTTCTAACTCCTCAGACTCTATCACAATTAGAACTAAATATTTACAGAAGGCAAAGTTATAAAATCTACTTTAGACACAATCAAACATCTTAAGAGAACAAGTCACTGAGTCAGGACTAGAGTTTCAAGGAAAACTTGTCAGAGCATCAATGTCAATTGGCAGGGAATGTCAATACCAACAAGGAGGAGGAAACATTGCACATCCTTTAGGGCTGGAGATTCCTGCGCCAGCCAGACCAAGATGAACACAAGAGAAAAGCAGCAGAGTACCAGAAACCAACCTGAGATGGAGTTGACTTGGAACTGCTATTTCCATGGAGCCAAAGACAGAGGCCTTCACCCAAGCTTGCTGGAGGTGTGAGGGAGAATGTTGTAACGACTTGGATTAAGGGAACCCTTAGTAACACTGACTGGAGCCATGAGGCTGAAGGTCAAAGGGCCTAAGATTACTCTTGGGAAGACATCTGGATAGAAGGGTTGGATCCTGCTGCTAACCCAAATTGCAGCCTCTTAACTTCACTAATAAACCCATAACTCTAAGTATGGTTCTGTAAAGTCTGTGTAGTCATTGCAATGGATTCTGAACCTAGTAGTGCAATACAATTGGTATTGGAATTGGTAGAAATAGATGCAAAAATGTGGAAGACCATGTCTGACCGTTTGGAAATAACTAGGGATAATAGAAGGAGAATTGATGCCTATGAGCTGTGGTGCTGGAGAAGAGTATTGAATATACCATGGAATGCTAAGAGAATGAATAAATTCATCCTGAAGAGGGTGAAGCCAGTCTGCTCCTTGGAGGCAAGGATTCTGAAGCTTCGTCTGACATAATTTGGACATGTTGCAAGGCGGGATCAGCCCTTGGAGAAGGACATCATATTTGGGATGGTAGAGGAACAGTACAGGAGAGGAAGGACCTCGATGAGGTGGATTGATTTAGTGACTAGGGTAATGGGGATAGGTGTGTCAGAGATAATAAGATTGGCCTTGGATTTAGCAGGGTTTAGGTCTGTTGTACATAGGGTCGCTGTGAGTCACAGGCAACTTGATAGTACATAACAACAACAACAACAACAATGGATGTTGTTGAGGAGGACAGTTCTCCTTCATGGAATTAGTAGAAAGAAGACTCAGCTGTCCTCAGACTGCCTACATCCTCTTTACAATTGTGATCTGAGAAGAGGTTTTATAATATTTTGATGTTTTAAGTTTTATCAAGGATTGCTTTGTGATTTATGTTCTACTCTGGGAAATGTTTCATGTGCACTGGAGAAGAATGTATGTTGTGCTTTTGTTTATTGGAATGTTCTTCATATCTCTACATGATCCTGTTGGTTAACTGTATTATTTAATTTTCTGTATCTTTGTTGTGTTTCTTTCTAGTAATCCTGTCTTTTATGGAGACTGGTGCACTGAAGTCTCCTACTATTATTGTGGGGTGGTTTCTTTCTCTCTTCAATCTGTTAAAGTTTAGTTTACATATATTGTGCCTCTGTAATTGGGTGTTTATATGAAAATCAGACCTATATCTTCTTGGTCAATTGATATTTTGTTCATTATATAATATCCTTCCTTGTTTCATGCTTTTTTCCTCTGGAAGTCTATTTTATAAGAAATTAATATTGTCATGCCTGCTCTTTTTATGGTTTTACTTAGTAATATTTTTTTCTACCTTTGGATGCGAGATATCAACCGAAACATAGACCACAAAGAATATGTTCTACATCCCAGTTTGGTTAGTAGCACCTAGAGTATAAAAAGCTTATGAGAGGCAATTTAAGAAGCAACAATTAATTTCTCTCCATCCAAAGGAAAGAACAACAAACAAATCAAAGATGTTAAAAACAATCCAAAGTACTAATGTTGTTATGTTCTGGTGAATGGGAACCAATTTATAGCTGACCCTCAAGCAAATTTTCAAAGGCTGTAAATCACATGGAAAAAATTGTTCATCTTTCATTCTCAGAGCATCTGATGGATTTCAACCGCATGGCTTTGAGTTGGCAGCACAACTCCTTCCCACTAGGCCAGCAGAGCTTACATATGGAACATGCAAATTTCAGCCTCCACACGCTGAGACCAGAAGAGCTAGTTGGTGCCCCACTACCATGACCAACTACTAGTATAAGGATTACATTAAAAAGTCCTAGGGAGAGAGAAATAAAAATGTGAAACAAAATTAAAATAATATTTTTAAAAATATTACACTTACTGTTTATCAGAAACCAGGAATAGATAGTATACCAACTGAAGTATTTCAGATAACAGATGTTGCCCTGGATGTGCTCACCAAGTTGTGCCAAGAAATCTGGAGAACAA